TAAAGCAAGGGAATGCAGTGATCAATTTGGGACAATTTTATGTGTGAATAGCACAGGTTCCATAAAATAACTAGGATTTAAGCTTTTGTGGAACCCATTTATGTACGGAGCTACTGCTTATGCATCAGCTAGCATTCCACTGGGTAAGATGTTCACGGTTCAAAAAAAAGGAATTCTAACCGATATTTCCCTATAAAACACAGAAGTAGCATTCCACAATAACTCAAAGTATGCACTTCGACTAAAGGAAGGATTAGGCAAACTTTCAACATCTCATTGAAGCACACACGACCCTCATGCACTAGACAGAAGGGATGATGTGACAAACACAGTGAGACTAACATCTATCAGGGAGGGGATGTAGTACTGCTATATAGGCCAATGCTGCTCCCTGGAGTACACCGCAACTTCCATCATCCATGGGGCAAATACACACTCCGCGTGATGAAAGTTATCATACCAGCAAAATACTTCGGCCACAATGCACAATTCCATCCTCAACCAACCACTGTGCATCACACTAAAATGTGGCCTTGCAAAGTTATACCACCTGTCGGTTACGAAGATGTGGTATGTGCACTAACTAAGATAACATCTGCAGACTGCCCACGAGAACAGCATTGGTGGCAGCGTTCAATATATGCAGTAAATTTATGAGTACTTTGGGCAAGAGGCGGTAAGCAGATTTGGATTTCGTTAATAACTGGCCAACATCTGCCCTCGAGGAGGGTGTGTGCTCTCAACAGACATAATCTTGTTCACGGTGCCCCATTAACAATGAACGACCCTATCCAATCATTCTACACGTTCAAAAGGATTAAGGGAAGAGAAAGACATCGAATCGACTACAACATTATCACGCAGGGGCTGTAGCGTTAGTGTGAAGGAAGGTTAGAAGTGTATAGGCAGGACTGAATGGACATGCAGAAGAGAAGCACAAGCTGTGGAGTCTGATGAGCCATGGTAACGAAGTCAAACGACAAAATAAGTCGCTATCATATCTACGTGAACTTAACCCTAGAGTTGAAGCATGGAAGCTAAATGCAAATATTTAATGCAACTTTGACATCATCACAGTGTAGAGGTTCGTTATCTGATGCGCGCGGTGATTAAGGTAGTACTGCAAATCTTCCATCCCCTGCTGACACAACAATGGGGTGAGAAATAAGATCAAAGTAACAGTGGAAGAGAAAAATGCGCGCACAGCTCATAACAAACGGTTGAGCCGGATCAGGGGATAAATGAGACAC